AATCTAGCGTGAGATAGATCCCCCTCTAGCTTGAGGGGACCGAAAATGACCTGTGGTAGCGATTTATGACTATCCAGTTACCAGATTACTAAAATCAACCACAACAACCAAGTAGTAACACTCACAACACTATAGCAACCTCTTTATCAACACCATCAGCCTTTTTCGTCATCACATCCATATGACGAAGGATTGGTCCAACTGCGCGCAAGGCATCCACGGCCCACGATACACCGTCCGGCAAGAAAGAAACGCATTCGATTCATGCTGGTATTAGAGCTGGTCCAGTGACAATCAGAAATTGATATTGGCAACAACAGTGGTGTGTAGGATATGCAAGAAGCAAGCAAATGGCCACCATTCTCAAGGGACTCGGAGTTGGCCATTGCTTGTCTTAGTTTGAATCACGACAGGATGGATCTAGACAGATGCACAGTGATCCTCCTCTGCTGCGCTACAAAAGGTCACATTTCGAGGGTTTTGTGTCCCTTTGCTTGGACAGTGACAACTCAGAAGAGGTACTTCGTAAATCCAGTTGGAGCTGCAGGAGTTAGAATCAGCGCTGGTGGCTATAAGATTGAGAGCCAAGTTCAGCATGGCAGAAAGATCCAAGGACACCTCGAGACCTCGACGGGGCTCCGTCACAAGATGCGACCTCGAACTGGCTGCAGCAATCGCAAACGATAATGTGCTTGCCCAAACCTGCTATATCAGAGAGCATACACTTCTGTTATGCCTATATGCCCACGGTGCACATAAACTGGCAATGGAAGGGATCTACCACCACCACACTGGACCACCTGCATACTTTCTCGGAGAGGAAAAGATCACAAGCGAACACGAAAACTCCTTCCGAAGTGACCATCAGGCAAACCCGGAAACACGATGGGCAAGCAATTCGGGCTTGATTTGAGGAGATGCCTTGTGGAGCGTCAGGTCTTGTTCCTGACAAAATTGTTTAGAGATTCTCCCCTTTACAGATGATGCCATCCAATGGCATCTTGTGCTTGTTTCAGTGTGTCCCATGAAGGATTGTCTTGGATTGTTGTTGGGTTCTGGTGATGTAAACTTCCTACAGCATGCAGCAATGGCAGCAACATCAAATGCAGATGCCGCATTGGCCCATGGCATTGGCACAGATTCCCACTTTTGGATCTGCCATTTGGAAGATTGCCCACTCAGGAGAGTCTACCTGTACTTAGGTCAAATGGGGGAAATGCCCAGCTCGCTGAGGCTCCTACAATTATTGAGTCAGAATCTCCCACCACCGTCAATCTCGAGATCAATCAAGGTCCTTCAGAGGCCAACCCACAGCCGAACCACGAAGAAAAGGAAATCAATGCAGACAACAATACTGTCACCGAGTTTTCTGACGAAGAAGAAAATGAAGGGGGCATTTTTGGTTTTTTCCACAAACTCTATAGTGGAGCTCGCTCTGTTCTTCTGAATACTAATATTTGTAACGTTTCGGACACCAGTACAGGAGACGAAAGGAGCAATTCGGGATCCCTTGGCAGTGAGGAAGAATCCCCAAAAAATGTGACCCATGTCGGAGAGAGCGTTGCACCTGATGCACACTTCCTTGACGAAGGACAGAAAAATGCTGCTTCGAATCTCAAGACAGAATCCACTGACATGGTTCTACAGCAACGTGGGGGCAAAACCAATCCCTGCAACCACAAGAAGAAGGATCCTCCAGTCAATGGTGGTGAGCATTTTACGGCTGACAGTTACGGAGCCACTGCTGCTGTGGGAGCCACCGGGATTTGCAGGGATGCTCCGGCTCGAGTCAACACGGGGACCCATGCTTCAGGGTTGGTTGCAACCACAACAACAGTTGCTGCTGTAGCAGGAAACGAGGTGGAAACTGCGCACCCCACCATCCAGAATGGGACAGAAGGAGTCGAGAAATTGAACTCTGAATGCGTGGAACCTACTGTGACTCCAGCTGTGACTGGGGCTCCTCATACTCATACTCTTGTCCAACCTCCTCCTCCTGCTGCACCTGCACCTAATGGTGGAACCGTTGCCGTGGCTGTTCGTCCTGAAGCCGAGTCTCCAGTTGTGGCAGTTGTGGCTGTGCCTCCTCCAGCTCAAGTTGCTGTTTTGCCTCCAACTGTACAGCAACCACCTCCTCCAGCTCCTCCAGCTGGTGTTAGTGCTCTTGGGAATAATGAGCTAATGATGATGCTTTTCAAGTCTCAGCAGTCTCAATTGAAGTCTCAGCAGTCTCATTTGTCAACACTTCAATCACTTTTGGACAAGAAAGATCAAAGCCCAGGCCCAGGTACTGGTACCGGTACCACCGTTCAGCCACAGCAGCACAATGATAAAATTGTGTGGCCCATGGAAAAAGCACAGGCAAAATCCCTCCCCCTGCGTACATGGGGGGAACAATTTGCGGCATTGGCATCATTCCATGCAAAGAATGGGCATTTCAATGTTCCATTTTCTGATGACAGACGACTACACAATTGGGTCAAGAATCTACGCAACTCAACGAGTTTGACTGAGGACATGAAGACCAAACTTCATGCCATTGAATTCTTCCCCAAGGAACCCGTTGTGGATCATCTGGTTGCCAGTCTCCAGCAACGCAACAGTGTCAACAACAACAACAATAACATAACAGCAAGAGAGCTGCAAGATCCTCCAGAGGAACAAAAACGTCACTTCGTGTGCATTGTTGGCAGCGATTATGAAGTGGAAGGAGGAAACCGCGAAGGAAGAAACCGCCAAGGTGGAGCGCCAAAAAACCACTCAACATGGACCTCAGACGAGATGGAGTCTGATGATGATGAGGAGAAGGTACACGTACCAATTTCTCCCAGGGGAGGCACCAGGCAGTGTAAGAGAAAGAGGAAGGTGTCATCTGCATCCGCAAGGCCCAAGAAGAAGGGAGCTGGGAGTTCCCGACGACGATACCGGTAAGTCTTGACGACGATTTCTGGGAACGTTAAAAAAAGAAAAACACAAGAGAAAATACAAGGGAAGAAAAAGAAGAAAGAAAACAACACACAAGCATTGGACGATGAAACAAAACTACAACAACTGCATTGGCAAGGGAAGAAAAGGAGGGTGATGTCGATGCGTACTGAGTGAGAAGTTTTATATGAATATATAAATTACGATTTTTACAAGTTTGTTTTCGTGCACACAGGTTCTAGCTAGTTCCTTGGTGCAAGACCACTTGTTGTCGTCCATGTCCATCTCCACTGCATTGGATGCTTATAAAAAGCAACAATCAACCTGAACTGGTTTGTCGTACTACTCATCTTTCCACTGCATAGTGATTGATCGAGCTGAAACAATAGCTTTCCTAGCTAGAAAATTGAACGATGCTGGCCCTCGAAGTCTACTGCAAGGCTGTCAGTGTTCTGATCTCTAGTAATATTCCTTTTGCCACCCGACCTGGATTCCGCCCCAATGCCTTGGTTGCAACAAACCCAACAGAGCATCCGTGTCGACGATTGACTTCCACGGCACGTAGTTGCACGATACGAAGCTCTTTCTTTCTAGCTGCAACTAGACTCCTTCTTCGTCCCCCATTCCCTGGCATGGACAATCACAACCGTTGTCAAAGCTCGAACCAAGACTACTCGCTCATGCCTGGAAAATGACAGGTGTGTCCACACCAGTACGTACGGTACCGGTATGACGAGTAATGGGCCGACTTTATTTCATCGTGGTTTTGTTACCTTGTTTGGCCGGAAACCCATGCAGCGACACTGAGTCCAAGTTGGGCATTGCTTGGCCAATGCCAACTATGCAGTCCAGTGATGTGAGCTGTTTGAACTCGAACAGATATGTCCTCGAGGCAATGTTGCGCAACGCCCACCAGTCCCTCCAATTCTGTCATGAAGAGATCCAGAGATGACGAACATGCCAAGTTTATAGTATACATTGGCACTTCTGGTCCAGTTCATAGGTGGGATATGTCCAGCCTTGCACGTCCGTACATGTGTATTCACGGGTACGGCACGGAGGCTCGGGGTTTGGAGGCCAGTGCTGGATGGTGCTGGGACAGACTGGCAAAGTTTCCAACTGTGCGCAAGGCTTGCACACGCCGAACCCCTAGAATCGAATCGAATGATGAATCTTCAATCATTCGAATTGATGAATCGATCTCAACCAGAAGACGCGACCCTCTCCTTCTCTTTGGGGGGTTAGAGTAGGGAAATTATCTACTATGGAAGCCCTCTCCTTCTCGGGTTTGCTGCTGCTCTATTGCAAAAACAAGGACAAGATGCACTCCTCGCGGGACAGACACGGTGGGAGCTGCAATTTATCGTGGGAGTGGGTGTTGTAAATTCGACTCGTCACTCGCTGTTGGATGGTGTCCTTGTTTTTGTTTTGAGTGGAAGGATGGATGTCTTGTATACTTGTGACATTCAACCTGTAGCGGTGTGATCCTAGACTTGCTGCACAGCAGTTTTCGCAAGGGCCTAGTTGAGTCCATGGTTTCAGGTTCAGGTCAGCCTCAGGGGTGTTGGTCGTACCGGTACCGTATACTAGTATGGACTTCTGAAGCGTGGGATGTGGTGCATAAGGCACTATTAATAGAAGTCGATACCGGTACCGTACGGCAGAGCGGCTGGTGACAGCAGTACCACCACAAGGCATTTGCTGAATCGAATCTCTGGGACTGAAGACACATCTCGCTACGGGAGCTGGACTATCAGCAGCAGTAATTCCTTTTCTGTCTGGTCTTGTGCATACTGTTACAGCGGCTCGATTGTATCCGCGGGAACTCCATCCCCTTGCTCACACCATTCACGTCGCTGTTCTTGGAGGTACCAGTAGTTCTATCTGTAGTACATGTAGCATTAGTGGGCCTCTCTATTGATGAATGGTAGAAGAAAAGTAGATACTATTACTCGAGTTCTCCACATCAGCTATTACGAGTGGTAGCTATAGAAGTGAGAATAGACTCTAGATGAATGAGAGAGATCAGGGTGACAGGGGAATTACTAGGATGGAATGTCAGGGCAAAATAGACAAGACATTGGCTCTATAGTTAGTCTGTAGTGTAGCTAACTGTCAAGATCATAGAACCAAGCTATTCTACAGTAAATGCTAAAAGGCTAGTGTTGGCTAATCTGTTTGTGCTATAGGTGTTACTGCCTCCCATCACTGCTGTTGCCTTTGTCATTATCACTGCTCCAGCTGCCATCCCATCACCTCACCTAATACACAAACAGACTGTGGCTGGTGAGTTCAATGCTGCAATGATCAAATCAATCCCATGTGTGAGCTGAAAACTAGGAGAAGGAAAGTCAATGGTGTTGGGTCACAATGAGGGAGCTCTCACAGAAGCCCAACACAATTGACCTGCCCTCTCCAGTCTTCAAATCACACATGGGATGAGGCCAATGGCAGGGACCTTGACTGGTGGGTGCTCAACTCATTCCATTGGATGAACATCATCGATGAACCAAATGAACTCATCAACATGTTCATCCACTTGAATGAGTTGAGCACCCACCAGTGAAAGGCCCAGCCCAAGACCAGCACCACAAATGAATCCCAGCCACTTACCATATATAGCCAACCACCTGAGCAAAGAAGACCAATAGGTTAGATAAGATTAGATAAAAGAAAGCACAAGCCAAAACTTACCTAATACACAACATGGAACGGAACGCCTTCACGGCGCATCGATAGCTGGGTGCAAACCACAACAGCACCGAAGCAGTACTTGTGCTTGTACAAAGGGTGACGGAACGACTGTCGCAAGCAGCCCCACTGCTTGAACAGCTTGTTGGTTGCCTCATGACGGGCACGGGCCCGGCTGCGAGCCCTGGTGTCTTGGTGGGAGACGTGATGCGAAGCCATGCGGACAGTCAGATCCGGGTAGCCATCATCCGCCTCCACCATCTCACCAGGCTGCAGCATCTGTTTGAGGAAGGAGCGGTAGATCTTGAGATCAGGCCAGCGGCCACAAGCAAACGGACCATTCACGTGGACAATCTCACCAGTCTGAATGCAAACGGCCACTTCATAGCGAACGCCGGCATGGCGAGTTTTTTGGCAGAACCACTTCTTGTCAAACGGCTGAGGTTCCGCAATGGGAAAGTCAGTGCCGTCCACAGTCATTAGACAAGTGCGTCGCTTGCTTCCATAAGGCCCGGCCTTGAACCTGTCAGCAAGTTTGACCTGTGCTAGCGAAGAGTTAGAGAGAGAGAGCAAGAAGCAAGCAATTGCCACCGCCACCATCAGCCACTCACCACATCGGGAAGAGAGTTCCAAATCGATTCAATGCAAGCCCAACTCCACTTGCGAAAGGTCTTGCGGTCGACGCCAGTAATGGTGGTAAGAACATGTTCAGATGCATACACATTCAGCTGCAGAAGGCCCCAAAGGAGATGCTTCGGCTTTGTGCCACGGCGGAAGTCACACATATACCACAAGTCAGAGGCAACTTCAGGGCTGATACCATACATAGACTTGAACCTGATGAGACGCTCTTCCCTGGACCTGAAGCGACTGCCAGGCAGGCCAATGAGAAGGAAGGTTTGCGACGTAATCATGGTGACGGTCAAAGAGGAGCGAGGAGCGACGACGGTCAACGTGGAACGAGGAGGAGCGACGAGGAGGAGCACAGCAAGCTAACGTGCAGTCAACCTGCTTGTAGTCAGTTGAAGCAAGCTGTTGGCGGTGGTCTGCAGTGAGAAAGTAGAAGCTGCCGTCGTTAGTCAGTGGTGACCGCCATTGAGAAAGTTTCGTGAAACAGCATATCTTACTTGGTCAGAGTTTCGTCCCCATCCGAGAGTGGCTAAATGAAAAATAATGAGGTCGCACGGTCGCACTGTCGCACTGCTGCCAGCAGGTTTTCTTTCGTGGATGATCAACGCCTTCGACAACCTCACAATTACTATAGCAAATCAGTACTTCAGGCTTTCTTGAGAGCAAGTCACTTCCGTTGGCTTCCGTTTGGCCTTCCGATTTTTGTTCCGAGTTCTTTTGTACGATCAAACTTTGGTTCCGAGTGCACGCTTTTGGCGGGAAAGGTTCCGAGTGCACCCTTTTTTGGCGGGAGAAGGTTCCAACGACGTTTGATACTTAGAACATTGATATTGACACTTGAATATTAATATTGGCGATGCCATCTCTACGGGACCCTTTTCAACTGCCACTCGGAACGGCCTTAATTTTTCAACTGCAACTCGGAATGGCATTCGGATCGCCTAGTGTCATCCCAAAGGCCTACACGAATCAATTTGAAGGCCTAGATCTGACGTGTTGACGGATTGGCTTAATTCTTTCTACTTCTATGCGACGCGTAGAACATGCATAGAACGTTCAGAACGTCCAAGTGTGCTTAATCAAGGCTTATTCAAGCCTCTCTTTAAGCGAAGCCTGTCTTATCTAAGCGAAGACTGTCGACGCTAAGCTTTTCTACGCTAAGCTAATCTACGCTAAGCTAATCTATGCCAAGGACTTGATTTACTATATAAAAAACAGTACTTTTCTGCCCCGTAGATTGGCTTAGATAAGAAAGGCTTAGCTTAGAGAAGCGTTGCTTAGCCTCGACTAGCGAAGGCTAGATAAGCGTTGAGTCCACAAGCGGAGTATTGCCGACAGCTCATAAAATAGCCCCACACACTTTTTGTGGCGATACCACCAAAACTCAACGATGGTGCACTTCTTTCCAAGACTTCTATGCAAGAAAACTCGGACCATGACAGCTCGTCTCCACCGCTACGCTACGACGGATCCACTTCCATGGAATCCATCTCGAAATGCATCTCCTTCCTCTCATAATTTTCTCCATCGTGAGAAGTTTTCTCCCAGCTCACCTCATGCCAACTGAGGGTGGAGTCCGACGCAGAAGAATCACTGCTACCCTGGTGTGGGCCAGAGATTCTGTTGACACTGGCCACACTCTTGCTTACATCCATCAGCAGAAGCAGGCTGGCGAGCCTTTGGAGAGGGAAGAGTGGAAGCAAACTCCAACGGGCAAACGACTGTTTGAGAAGTACAAGTCCAAGAAGTTCAACTACAACTGGGAGGCAACTCAGAAGCGCTACAACTCTTTTGTCAACACTGGAGGTGGCGAGTTCACTCAGGAGCAACTCCAACTTGCTGGTATTGGGTTGCCTGAGCGCAACGCCGATCGCCAAGGGGGCCAAAACATTCATCCTGGTGACGACGAGGAAATTGAAGGCGAGGAAGCTGTTGTGAGTGACGCTGTGGACATTCTTGCTGACGAAGCCACAGTACTCGGACGGGACCAACAACCCACTGGTCGAGCTGCATCTGCATCTGCTCCACGGGCACCACTTCGTGTCCAAACACCACCACCACCACCACCAACGGCGCAGACCGGTATTTTCTACGTCGAAGACAACGACGGGATGACTACTCGTGTTGGTTTGATTCCCATCCCTGAGCTGGACTTCCAGGGTGCCTCCAGGACGGAGTTCCTTTGCATGATTGATCTTCCTGGAGGCGTTCGCAAGCAGAATGTAATAGCCACCCTTGATCAAGACCTTCTTGGTCTAGCTTTTGAGTTCACCGAAGTCAATGGAGCCTATGATCCCGCGGTCTTGGCTAATGGGATCTCCTACGGATTCCGCATCCAGACAAAATCGGCTCTTCGCGGTGCTACCGAAAAAGAGTTGAGAGAAGGACAGCAAGGCGGCACACTATATTTCAGCAACAATGTCCTCAAAAAGAAAGTCCACATTGACTTTCCCGAAATTTTGGAGAACTACCTTTACAACCCAACCGATGGCTCACGTGGTCCAGAAAACGAGATCTACTGGCTACCTATTGCTGGAGGACGCTGCATTGCCTTCACGTCTGTCTGGCAGCGGCGCAATAATCCCATCGTTGGTGCTCTTCGGCAGGAGGAGCTTACTCTCGAACAATTGGAGCAAGCCGCTGAAGCATTTCCGGCCTTTCAGAATCCTGAGATTCGGCAGAGAGTGAATGAGATGTTTGCCTCCCCTCCTCGTCCAACTAACCCTCGCACTCATTTTGACACGCAACCTCAAGCTCCTGTTCCGCCGCCGCCCCCGCCGCCCCCGCCGCCCCCGCCGCCAATTGTCCCTCCACCGGTGGTACCGGTTGCCCAGTTTCAGGAGCTCTCTCTGACTCGGATGCAACAGCAGCTGCAACAGCAGATGCAACAACAGCCGCACGAGCAACAGCAGCAGCAACAGCAGCAGCAGCAACAGCTACAGGAGCAGATGCGGGCTCAGTATGCCCAATAACTTGAAGCCCAGCGCCTTGCACAGGAACAGGCCCTTTTGCGGCAGCAGACCAACTTCACCTCCACTACTGATGAACTCCAGAACCACTACGACCAGACATTGCAATGGCAGCGGAACGACCTTCAACAAGAGTTTGAACAAACTGTTGTGAATGGCTCACCCCGTCTCTTGAACATGCTTCGTGGAATTGCTGCAGGTGGCAATGGGTTGGATTCACTGACTCCAAATGATATCCAAGGCTTGTTTGCCCGCTGCTTCAATGATCCGAGTGGACAGAACCAACCTGGGCAACAGCCACAACAGCCTGCGGGGCAACAGCCTGCAGCACCACAGCCTGTCCGTGCCGCCACCCCACCAATTCGAGCACCAACTCCAGTACGGGCAGCCACTCCCCCAGCTCAGGTACCAGTTGCTAGGCCTGTCTATGAACGACGCCCTTTCGTTGCTAATCCAGTGATTCCCCCAGTGATTCCAGGTGGCATGCCTTACGTGGTTCCGACTCGTGTCCACCCGCTCCAAGTCGAAACTGTCACTGATGATAGCACCACTGCTTCGACTGCTTCATCCATGTCGCAGTCTCAAAACCATTGATCTTGTCGGCCCTTGAAAAGAAAAAACTAGCTTTATAGCCTCAATAACAGAATAGCTTATATCTTGTGTTAGACACCCTAGCTACAAAGCATCTACAGAAACTACATGGGCTGTGCCTGGACTTGCACTAGAGTTCCACCCTAGTAATTCCCCTGTCACCCAGTGCGCGCATCAGCACAATGCCAATTCGAGGGGTTGATGGATAGTGATGCCAAATCCAAATGTGTGTGAAGATACGCGTGCCCTTCATCTAGAGAACTCCACGTGAATTCGAATAAATAAAACACATATCATGTAATACTAGTAACTAGTAATACGGTACTAGTAGTTGTACAGCCCAGTCACGCTAAGGCTTGTTATTGTACCTGCTGCGGTATCTTTGTTAAACGCTACGACTTGGAACGGCGACGAGTCGCATGAATCGAATCAGGTCGCTTGTTGCTAACAAAAGTTAAAGTACCCGCGTCATAAAAGTCACACCGTGACCAATAACCTAGAGTCTAGTAGAGCGATAGGAAGACAACAACTCGAATTGTTCCGTATTAGTAGAAGTTTAGAACAAAGTGCTACAGTAGCACCTCGGAAAATACACTTGTGCATGCGCTTGCCATCAAACAACCGTGGGTTCGTGACTGGTAAACAACACAGGGAATACCAGATGCGGCGTAGTATGCGTTGGTTGTGCAATTTGATTGGTTTTGTTGTGACATCAATACCAGGTGCTACTCTTTTTCCCAGAAAAGATCCAATGCACGACACCCAACTATTGTACAGCAGTCAACAGCTCGAGACAGAGCCAGTAGTCGAGAGCTTAGTCACGGATCTCGAGGATCCATCTCAAGATCTCGCCCACTCCTCTACTAGAGCAGCTCTAGGAGCTCACCCAAGCCGTTGGCAAGTATCACCCAAGATCCCCGCCCTCAAGACACGAGCCCCGAGATCCAAACAACCCACAGGAATGAAGTTTGGATAACAAACTCAAACAACAAAGATACTAGCTACCTACCGGTACAAGAACAGCACTTCCCATGAGGATCACCGGAGGCAAGGCTGTGGAGAGATCAACCATTGCGTATGATACAAGCCCAGCGACACAAAAGGTTCATGTCACCATGGAAGAGGAGGGGAGTTAGATATCAACTTCCAACAGGAAGAAAGATACACCCAAGAGGTGCATCCTACCGTACCGGTACGTACGGTACGGTAGCCTCACAAACGGAGCCATCAAGATAATCTGCTAGTAGAGGAGAGGTGCGACGGATTTCGCGCACTACTGGTACCGTACCAGGTACAAGTTTACCAGACGGATTACTCGTCGTTGGTCCAGCACTGCCACCATACTGAAAGGTTACCTTCAAACAACAATCAAGGAAGCCCCGAAGAGTGCAAGCCGCAAAAATTCATCGCTGGGACACAGGCTGGGACACAATTAAGCGAATTTGCCTCTAGATGCCAACACACGAAGTTACCAGTCAAATTAGCCAACGATCACAGGACTGCTACCGGTACCACTAGGCCGACAACTGGCTGTTGCTAGAACAACACGACTACGTTCGTCGAATCCTTTGAGACAGCAGCATCCTTTTGGCAGCAACAGAAGCAAAATGCAGTGGACCAGGACCTTTATATCTGACATCGGCAGCTGCTTCTCGGATCTCGGGCATCTTGGGCATCTTGGGTGTATTGATCACAGATCTCGGGGAGCTTGGGTGAAGTTGTCGAAGATACCCCGAGATTACACGAGATTTTGGGGAAGATACGGGACTGTCACTCACCCAAAGCTCGGCTTGGCCGTTTTGCAACGAATGCAGGACGGAATGCTGCTGCGGTCCTACAGTATTGTGGAAGAGATCCAGTATTGCTGGCTACCCTATGACCAAAACCTTCATTGCAATGTTCATGCCACTCGAGTGCTACACAAGTTCTTCTTCTTCTGAAGACGCTGCGGGGATGGTGACCGTCGCAATCGTGGCGATCGATTGAGGCTGGATAGGTTCTATCCGTACCGTACTACCGGTACTTACTACTACTAGAAGATCTGTGGACCTACCGTATATGTGAAGCACTCTGAACTCCGAATCCAAATGGAGAGTGAGAAGGCGTTCTCTCTGGATGACTACGGTATAGTGCCGCTGCCTGTGGGTCTTTTTATCAGCACTCTTTTCGGGGCTGGGCTCATCGAGGGCGACGAGAACATACGCGGTTACTAGCCGCTGCATCGGAAACGACAAGCTAAGTTTCTGGAGATGTTGTTCGGGTATTGAGCAACATTTCCAGCTGATATATGATTGCTACATGTACAGTGTGCAGCACTACGTTGCGACTTGGGCAAAGCAGGAATGACAAGTAGGTGTAGAAGAAGTCCACGTCAAATCCTTTGAGGTCTGCCATTTTCCGAGTTGGTTCTAAATTGGGACTCATCAGTTGGGCACGCACCAGGAAAAATGTGCCACCTTCTATGCAGAAGATTCTTATTGTGGAGATGGAAGATGCCTTGAGCTGGGTTTTGGAGGGGCTTTGTTGAATGCTGCAGTTGCCCTTTGCACTGTACCTTGAGTTTAGCTTTCTTTTCCATTGATGCATTTGAGCCTTCTCCTCTTTGGATGATCCTTACCGGTAGTGATCCAGCATGCAAAAGCTGGCATTGGCTCAGTGGAGAGAAAGAAAACTGGGGAGCAAGAATTAGCTGCTGGAAGAAGACCCTATCTGTCGAAGAATTGCCTAACTTCAGAGCTTGCTGTGACGACGAATCCTACAAAGCTACGTGTCCATCAATAAGTATTGCAGTCCAGCAAGCCAGCTGCTGGCCGCTGCGCTGACTCCAAGGCCAAAGGAGACGTTGACCTCTTGCGTTGGCTCCAGAACGATGAGCCCGAAGTGAACGTTCTGGGTGAGCCCGGCTTCGTGCCGACTCCACTCCACTGAGTTCACTGTGCCTGCACGTGGTCCAACAAAAGGGCAGTCTGTGAACAATGTTTTGTATTGGCTCGAGCAGAAAGAATGCAAAGACGTCATCGGCCTTGCGCCAAAGCAATCTCACCACTAAATGTGATCCCTTTCCTAACGTATGCCTCCGTAGAGGATTACTCCCGGGGAGAAAACGAGACATGAACGACCCCGGTGGGCGAACCAACGAGGAAGTGACAAGTCTTGCTGGCGTTCCTATCCCCGCAGTGAAACGTATCGTCAGGGCTTCTCAAGGAAAAGGGGTGGCGAGGATACTATTGAACGACTGATGAAGCACGGAAACAAACCTTAAGGACTTGGAAGATGCGCTTGCTTGGCTGCAAAACAATGACCCCACAATCGGACTCGTCGACGACATTTGAACTTGGCTGCACATTTGTTGGTCTTTTTGTCAGCACTCTTTGTGGGGCTGAAGTGGGCTCAACATCATGGGCAACGAAAACAGAGGCCACTTACATCATGCATGACATCTTTTACGCAACAGAATGCTGCTATGTGGAAGAGATCCATTATTGCTGGCTACCATACCTAGTTGTTGGACGGTATGTGCAGGCAATGGTGTAGTTTTGATTGCCATTGTATCTCTTGATTGCTGTGATGGTTTTGTTGATGTGTTATTGATATTGCCACTTGATTGCAGCTTGGGCCAAATTTGGCCCCTTCTTAACTCCAACCAAGGGATAGCCCGTTTGCAAAGGCCACAACGATCAAGAATGTTCAAGGAGCATACGATGTCAAGGAGACCAGCAGATGCATGTTGGTTCCACGGTTGGCTACCGTATGACGAAAACCTCATTGCTGGCATTTGAGTGATACAGTACTGCGTTTGGGACGGACACATCGGCTTCAATGGCTGTTCAAAGATGATTTATGGACGCATGTGAAGCACTCCAAATCGAAATCGAGAGTGAGAAGGCTTTCTCTCTAGATGACTAAGCGCCGCTGCCACTGGGTGTTTTTTGTCAGCACTCTTTGCGGGGCTGAAGTTGGCCTCGCATCATGGGCGACGAGAACATCAACCCAGTTGACTACGGGGTTACTACTCGTGAGTTATAGCGGCTGCAAAGATGCAGCACGGTTGTTGACGGTGGTGGCTACAAGATTACCTGACTGAAGATCAAGAGAGCTCTGACAGACGAATCCAACCAACCTGCGTCCATCTACCGGTACTGCGGTCCAGCAAGTCAGCTGCTCTGTGGGCCGCTGCAAATCGGGAGAGCTATGTTAAGGTGCAAACGTTGCGCCTCCGAAGGTGCATGTTGCGCCTTCGAAGAAAGCACCGTCAACGTCAAGAAAATTTGGGAGCCGCAATTTAAAAGACGGAAGACACGTCCCAGGAGGAGACCGTGAGACAACAACACGGACGAAGAGAGTTCTGACGAGGCCAAAGGAGATAACCGACGTATTCATTGGCTCCGGAACGACGATCAGCCCGAACTCGTCCTGGGCGATCCCAACTTGGCGTGGACTCCGCTAACCCCCTTGCTACTAACACATCAGGGCCTCCTATGCGTGGACCAACGAAAGGGGAGTCTGTGGACCATGTTGTGCATTGGCTTAGAAAGAATGGACCTTGTCCCCAAAGACGATCGAGCTTTATAAACCTTGCTTACAAGCTATCTACACGCTCACTGGGATCCCTGCTCTTGTGAAGATCACATGCATTCGGAAGAAAAGTGATTGGAAGATGCCGTCGATTGGATAGGAAAGAATGAAACAGACAAGACTTGATACTCCAACAATTGATGTGCTTATGCACGTCCCCGGAGTTCCTCTTCCCCGCTTCGTCGCACCAAGAGAAACCAAGAGACACAATGTTGAGGCTGTTATAGATTGGCTTAGGAAGAATGGTGCTCCACAAGATGTACGGGGTGAACCAATCCTAGAAGCTCTCTCGCTCGGATTTGTCTGTCCCCATGCCCAAAAACCAACACACAAAAGAGGATGGGGGCGGCTGGGATCTTCACTTCCTGCCGACAGAAAGGAGGCGCTGGCCGACATCTTCCAGGAACTCGCTGGGTGCGGTCGGGTCAGACACAAAGTCGGGTCGGCCACAAATGCTAGGTGCCATCGGGTCAGCCACAAAAGCTGGATGGTAGTCCTAGGGAAGCTACGTTTTGTCTCCGTTGCCATCAGCGGATCCGCTAGTCTGTTCAGCGCTCTCGCGCTCTCCCGCTCACCCCATGGATGTCCAAAGGAGGGTGCATCAAGATCAATGCAGCCCTCAGAGCCCACATTAACACCCTAGAGTCAAACTCGCCGCCAGCCTATGCCTAAGAGGATTACTCCCACGGACAAAGGAGGTGCATTGGGCTGGCTTTATCGATAGCAGAATCCCATGACAGACATACCGTTTAGTTAAACCGGTACAATTGAGGCAGTGAGAAATCTTGATGATGTTCCTCTCCCGGCATTGTCACGCCTTGACAAGAAGAAGGTCAAGTAGGATGCTGTTTGAATGGAAGTTCAACATTCCGGGCGCATTGAGAAAGGATGTCTTGGAAGATGCGCTTGTTTGGCTGCAAAACAACCACCCACAATTGGACTCATCGATGACGGGGTTGAAGATGCCGATGACGTCCGTGGATCAAAGCAGCTAGGCGGTGACACCAAGGCCAAAGGAGAAGCCAACGTACTTCACCGACTTCGGAACCATGAGCCCGAACTCGATGCGACCCCGACTTGACGGCCCTCACAGGTGCCGCCTGGGCCTGCGCGGATCGATGTTGTGCATTGGCTCGAGCAGAAAGAAATGGAAAAGACATCATCAGTCCTGCTTACTAGTAAAAGCGATCTCCCTACTCACTGGGATCCCTCATCTTGTGACGGTTATAGCGCAATAGGAAGGAAAGTTTTTGGAAGATACCGTTGACTGGTGGTGTTCCTATGCCTAAGAGGATTCCTCCGGGGGAGAAAACGAGACACGTGCATTGGTTTGACTTCGTAGGAACAAACCCATGACAGACGACCCGGGCGGGTGTAAGATTGACGCAGCGACTAATCTTGCAGGCGTTCCTCTCCCAGCAGTGAGGTGTACCGTTATCATCGCGACTTGACGAGAAGAAGGATGGTGGGATGCTATTGAATTACTGATGACGTGTTGCGATGAAACAGACCTTCTACGGAAGTTCCGGGCGCACTGAGAAAGAAGGGCTTGTTTGGCTGCAAACAATGATCCCGCCATCGGACTCATCGACGACTCCGCGCTCACCGGTGGCGTTCATGGATTCCAAAAAGGCTGAAAACTTCCGGGAGGACGCACTGACTCGACTCCACAACCACCATCCCGTTCTTGATGTGTCACATGCCCAAGGAAGACGCTCATGAAAAGAAGCAAGACAGTTTGGAAACCTCGAAGCAATCTCCCGCCGCCAGTTTGCCACTTCAAAAAAGAACTTGCCGTAAGGAAGAGGCTATTCCTTCTTGGAAATCGGCTCCTTATGCCGTCAATGGGAGCACTGCGAAGGGGGCCATGGAAGTAACGGACGAAGAGATTGACTGCCTCAGACTTAACGTGCCGGCATTCACTGATGTGGATGATTCCATCGTTGCGATCATCGATGTCCACACGGCCCAACCTTCGGGCCCAACGGTATGCCGTGTCGTTCCTTGAAGACGCTGTGGGTTGGCTCAGTCAGAACAATCCGAAGCTCAATCCCTTGAGCAGGAAACCATCCGAGAGGCTGTCGAGCTGGTGGGCAGAGGAACGCCCGAGAGCACACAACGGAACGATGACTGAAGAGCCTCTGGGCGATCAGTCAAAAAGACGTTCTTCTCAGAACAAGAAGCAAATACAAAATGCAAACGAGACAAGCCAAAGACACGGATCATCAACAACCGCCTTCTCGTTTGCCGAGCACGGGAAGTGTGGGTTTTCACAAACCTGTCAAGGCATCACCACGGGGACAGCGGCACCCGCAATCACAGAGAGCGATGAAGCAAGTCGTGGCAGCAAAAAGAAGCCGTCATCATCGTCTCGTCTGGCAAGCACCGGAAGTTTGGATTTGCATTCGGTCCCAGCCAGAAAGCCGACTGGTCCAGGGGTTCCCTGGTGCTTCTCAGAGAGCTTGTTGGCTCTGTTTTGCAATGTGAACAACAATGGTAGGATCGATTTCGTCAACTGGAAGCTGTCCGGTATCGCACACAGTGACGGCAACTTGGGGCGCCGCAACAAGACGTGCAACAATTGCTCCTCTTCACAAGACTGAACGAACAGCAATCTGCATGGTGATGAGGCAGTGGTGCACAGGGCTGTGGGACCGACTTTGATTTTTTGATGTTGTGGGCAGTAGTACAAAGCTGCTTGTTTGAGTTTCTTCATTTCTACTGCAGACACTTTGATTTGATTGTTGTGGGAGGTATACGCTTCTTGTTTGATGGCGGTGCGTTGAGCAGCCCACGAGCAAATGCAACAGTACTTGAAAACAGAGGTTCCATTGCATCTCAGCTAACCACATGGACAAGACCAGAGCAAGAAGGTTTATGTGTGGCCTCCTGACCTCGCTCTGAGCTTCCATGGTCATGTACTAGCTAGTAAGGCTCGCTAGCTTGCTGCGGCCAGCTGAGCCTTTATGAATTAGTTAACTTCCGCTGGTCAGCCATGCACATGTCAGGATGCCAAAGGATTGGCTTTCATCGTGATGTACGTAGGGTACTAGTGCTGCAACACACCCTGCATCTCTACCAGTAACCAGTATGCATACATGTAGCTGTCCTTTCCGCTTGATATGCTTTGATCGAGGCAATTACGGTGATTTCTTGATATGCTTTGATCGAGGCAATTACGGTGATCTGAATCACGCAACTGAGGAAAGGTGGACAAGCATGCAACAACCAGAGATTTTGCCTCAATCTGAAGGATTCCCGAAGTGGCCTTCCATCATACATGATTGATTTACCTCTGAGTTACAACTACTAGTAAATCTTCTCCTTTTCGGCCGTACAGCACTTTGTTATTGATTCAGGAGACGAGGACTGTGGGAGTATTGTTGACACAGGATTCACAACCACGAAGGAGCACCATGATGTGATCTGGGGCAAAGTTCGTATTTATTGAGCATACCCCCCCTCGTGCGCTCCAACAAGGTACAGCTGTACCGTAAAAGTATATCCCAGAACTGAGAGAAATACTGAGAGCCTGTACGAGTAGTAGGCATCCTACAGGAGGTATCAAGAGGTATCCATCGTACATGGTACCCAACACCTGGTGTATGCAAGGTGGATGTTAATACCAGTGAGGAGCGAGCGAAAGGTCACCGCCTTGGCCGTAAGATAAATGAGGTTCGCACCTCTACTACTCACTGTTAAGATAACGGACGCACCTCTATCTCCAAAACTCGAAAAAGCACAAGTCCACGAATCCACGAAATCGCTCGCTAGCTACTAGCTACTACTAGCTACCCACGTACGTTCGAAAAGCACAAGTCCACGAAAACGAAAACACAATCAATAAGTACTCATGTAACAGACTCACTATAAGGCATGGCTACCATGCTGATTAAACTAAGGTCAACTTTACTGAGCACGAACAATACAAAGATCCTCATGCAGACTGCCCATAATGGTGTCCTGCTTGATGGCAGCAGTAATATTCAAAACACTAAAAGAGAGAGAGAGATCGAGAATGGAGTCGAGCAGTCCGAGGCGGCGTATCGAGTTCCGTTGGCGTCAACGCTCTTCCTTCGACCTTGTGTTGCAATGCCCTCTCTCTCTTGATCCTATAGGCCTGAACAGCCATAGATGAGTCTGCCACCACACCAGCGGTTAGCTCCAACTATCAAGCGAGAGACCGCCAGAGAGACACGGAGAATGGAACTATACGAGATTAAGGTCTAGGCGGGGCCGGAGCCCGCGTGGCACCTACGACCGTACAGGCGCGGACACTAACGAACGAAGACACACATTGTCGCGGTGAACGGTGCCATAATGCACCCACATAACTCAGACACAGGCCCACACAAAGGTGCCAGCACTCGTCAAGTTGCCAATCAGTCTCGGCAGTTGACGGCTATGCAAACGCAACAACAGGTAACCAGGAGAAACAAGATAATCACAGAAGAGAAGCATTTCTGACTAGGAGCATGTCATTTGGGGCGCTCACAAGTACCCAGCTTCCCCAACAGACGGCCTAAGACTCAATTGCACGAGAACAAGCATTCTACATATGGAGCGCAAAGAAGGCTCAAGGATTACCTCAATCGGCTTGGTAATCGTTTGCCATCTATATCCAAAAACGACGTAAGAGAGAACGAGCTACAGACAAGACTATAGAGTTGGTAAGACAGACCTACAAGCTGGGAGCGCCTGGTGACCAAAAGGTAACTAGTCTCCTGCGTCTGTTATATGAAAGTTGCACGCGTACGGGTGGTTGGAAGACAGCGTCTACAGCGCCGGAGCCCCGTGACGGCAAACATCAAAGGATATAATATGCAATCCTGGTGTCAAGCGGTAAGTGGGACCTTATGTGGGTGCTCGATATCATGCGCCCGCAAAAATGATTTGTTGCCAACCATGGCAGATCAAATTTCTGAGCGATTTGCCTAACCTAACACAGGTCGCGAAATACCTGTCGTGCTAGTAAGTGCCTTAAGGTTGGATCTCGGTATCCGTATACCTTTTCATTGGCATTGCGTTACCAAGTGCCTTATCCAAGGATCTGTAGGCAACCATAAACCGATAAAATCAAGGTAGATTCACAGCGAGTAGAACTCGGATCCTGTTGCAGCCACAACATATGGTTGACACGAATACATGTGAGTGCATGAGAGACCGATTCAAGGCGCAGCCCTGCAATGGCCAGTCCACACTGCCATCACAAGCGATGGCTACATACATAGCATGTGGCCACCACCGGGCGGCCGCTGATAGTAGGTCCTGCAAGCTAGACCAAGTAACAGAACTGTTGCCTCTGCTTGGCAAGAGTGGATGAATGGTATTGGTGGCAACAAGACAGCCAAGAACTTCACTGATGATGATATCTCATTATGAATGAGTTTGACGAGATCGATTGTGTGCGTAACATCACGGTGATCAGGATCGCCGATGATCGCCGCTAGTAGGAGCGATCGCTGAGTGCTTATCAGATGTACCTCCATATCAAGTGACGGCATTGACGAAATAGGCAACGTCGACCAGCACTCCAGGGCTTGCAAGTCAACCTACTCCAGGAGGAAGCCAACTCTGGACTCTCATGGCTACACTTGTCAATGCTCAGAAAGCTCCAGCTTGGGTCATCTCCAAGATTGAGGAGCATTACAAAGGA